GGGGACTCTTTCCTGTTATCGTGTGAGGTTTGCAAATTGCACCTACTAGCGCAGGTTAGCATAAAGTGGGCTACTGTATAAACTGTCAACCTCGTTTCCAAACCATATAGGGGTGTGGGCCGAGGATTCTTAAATTCCACTGGCCTCACTCTCTTCTGGTATAAAAATGGAGAGTAAGAAGGAAAAAGAAAAAAAGTGGTCCTAATGAAAATGTGTGTGCCCGTCAATCCTCTTTATTGTTTTTGCCTCCTTTCATCATCCCTCCTCCTCAAATGCCTTCTCTTCTGCATTTACGTGTGGGTCCATATATAGTTGGGGTTGATGTTAACATTGTTGACTCTGTTTTTAAGGGCTGCTCTTTGATTCCTCATTCAAAGGAAAATAGAAAAAATAAAAATCCAAAGGCACCACCCCTATTTTTGAAATTCAATTCAGTTGTCCAATTCGCCCTTTTGTTTCATGTTAGTTGAGTGGATTATCCAACTTAAAACTAGGGTAAAAAGGTCTTTTCCCTCCACCATGTTGGTAGGTGAGATGTCCTGGCCAAGTTACTGAGCTAGATGTGAAAAAATACATATAGTACTAGTCGTATTTACTGTTTTCAATTACTGGATATCAGTGATTTGCATGCAATGTCTTTATTATATGCATTTCGTCGATGTTTTGTCCTAATGCCACCATAAATGCCTTATTCTTATTATTGCCTTTTGATGCTTGCTACCACACGGTGAACCTGGAGTGTCCCATCAGGGTTACTATTTCCCTCTCAACATAGGGGCTGAAAGTGCATCTAGAATTCATTGGAATTCCTAGTTTTTCCCAAACAGTACTTAATATTGTTATATTTTCTTCACCAAATACTTGGATATGTGTTTACTCTTTTTTTGTTTTTTTAAATTTGGATAAAGGGATTCGAACTTGCTCTTAGAGTAAGAAAATTATGCACTAATCATTGAACTAAATGTTGGGTGCTTGGCTCCGTTTACTTACCTACATATTATTACTAGTTTAACTAGGTGCTTGAGTTAATTAGGTCAGCTGATCAAGCAGTAATTAGGTTTAGATCTCCTTTAAATACTGGTATTGTTATTTTTTTTTCCCTTTCAAGATGGGATTTTGGAGAAATGCATTTTTTTGGCAATATGGATGGTAATCTAATATTGGTGCATATATGTATAGATAGATGGATAGTACAGAGGTTAGTTAGATTGGAACGAAAAAGAAAAGCATAGGTGCAAAAACAGTAATGGTGACCATCTCATAATTATTGTCTTATAAGACAATAATAGATAAAGAGTCATGGACAAAGAATTTCTCTTATCTGTTTATGAGGGCAACTGGTCTTCCACCTAATTGATACTGAATTTGTGAAGTAAACTTGAAATTAATCATGTCCCATTTGTCATTGCTCTTTCTGAAGATCAGTAGTCTACTGATGGACTTTTTTTTTTTTTTTTTCAATCTTTAAAGATCTGTTAAATCACATTATCATGACTAAATTTTTAGGGTTTCCATAAATGGTGGTAAGCTCTTTCCAGAGATTCTGCATCTGTTTTGCCCCCACAACAAACTTTTGTTGTTCATTTCTTTGCTTAAAATTTTGTTAGGTGTTAATATACAATCGTTGGCCAATCTAAGACAGCTCTTGTATATAGGAATTGTTTATTAATAACGTTGATGACTTCTCTTACAAATTTCTTAATTGTTCGAGTTGTTCCATTATCCTATGGCATAAAATGCACTTAATTGCTGTTAATTCGATGCTGGTATGGGAAGATTAGCATTGTAACCTTCCAAAAATAAGAAAAAAAACAAGTAAAAAGAGAACATATATAGAGATGCTGGTTTAGGACATGTAATTCCTTTTGAGAGCTTTTCAAGATATCTTTGAAAGGGATGCACCTCCTTGTTAAGTTCTGCTTGTAAAATAGCTAGCTTCTAGGAGCTACCCACAAGCATATATTGATAGGGCAACTTACATATATATACATATATATATAATTATTTAGGTAAATTTGTGGGATTTTTAGACTTAAAACTGAAAGTCTGAACATATGAATTAGTGCTACATATCTAAACAAGCCATGTTTACAATATAAGAAAAACAAAGGGCAATAGACCTTTTTCGGAGGAATTACTTCGGTAAGATTATATATATGAATAAGCATGTCATCTTGTTGAATTATGAGCAATGTTTTGAGGACGTAATGAACGAGAAAAGACAATGGCCATATAACTTGTGTTATCACCATGCATCAGGACTCGAAATAGGGTGCTAGAAAACTAGATTTTGTGGATAATTTACACTTGCTTGAAAGGGCTTCATAGCACACCGTTAGGAATTGCTTCAACAATGGAGTTACTTCAAGTTGTAAAATTGACATGCAATCTTCAAATCGTAACTCAAAGCAAAGAAAGCCTCATCGTAGCTATTTTTAAGTGAGTTGCACTAACCGATTCTGTCATTTTGCTGAATCTGTTAGGCATTATATATCTTTTGTTTGGCAGATAAAGCTATTGTCGTTTTCTCAAAATAAACAGGTTTTTTATTTTTTTTATTTTGGCTTCAACTTGCTGAAACAAGATAATAGTACATCGTATAGATTGCTAAAACCTGGAGGTTTCTATGAGGAAATTAAAAGTTCATGTTTTTTTTTTTTTTTAATGCATATGCAGCTGCTGTGATCACTCTACTAGTTCAGCTTCAACATCTTATGCATATTTGAATTAGCTTTACACTATAAAGTGAAATTAATATGCATTTAATGTTATTGGTATTGCAATCTTGCCTTCTAGAAATTAATATTCCAAATGCATAAGAAAAGAATTTCAAATTTTCATCATTTTTAGGTTCTTGGATATGGGATTTTCCATTGATATTGATCTTTGTTTTTCCTATCAAACCCTAGCCTGGGGTTATTGAACAGCATGCAACTGTAGCCAGTCAACATGTTTCTCCTGTCCAAAAGAGCTAGCTGGATGCATGAAAATTAAGAAAACAAAGAGTAAGAGTACTAGTAGTATAGTACTAGTATAGTATCTTTCTGCATATGATTTCCGGACACACTTTTTCTCTTGCAAAACGGGTGTGAGACAAAACACAAATCCCAACATGAAACAGAAGAAGATGCAAAGCTTATACTACTGCTTACTGAATGTAATAAAATTAAGGGATGCATTTTCTTTTTCTGAGCTGTAGTTTGTAACAAATTCATTGAATGATGTACATTAGCAACCCCTGCTTGCTGCCACAATTGCACATATATTAGATAAGAAAAAAAGGAAGAAGACACAAATTAAGCAGCAGTATAGCAATCTCACTTAATTATAATTATTATTGTTTTGGTAAGAAAGAAAATGCCTATTTTTTTCTCTGTATTCCCCTTGGTAAGAATCTTCAAATTCTACAGCATTCCTCTCTGGATTCATCACCCATAAAAGAACTAACCCAGTAACTTCTCTTTCTGTTTTGCAGGCATAAAAGCAAAGGTACAAAGAAAAGGTGAGAAAATAAAGATGGCTGCAGACTTAACTGCCATGTTCGTATGGTCCCTTCCCTTCCCTTCGTCAAAGTATATCTTAGTGCAAAACAAAGGACACAAACCTTTTGCGAGGGGAAGCTTTGGTTTTACCATCTTTAAAAGCTTTGGATGGATCATGGGATATATAGTACTGTTGTCCCTCTGAGAAATAAAAAAAAATGAATGTGCTTGCAGATTTTAAGGCAACGAAAAAAAAAAAAGAACTGACCCATCCCCTTCCAAGTCCCTACACTTTTTCAATCAACGAACAAATCAATTCATCAGTTTGCATTATATAAGAATGTTATGTCCCCTTCTAGCTATACTCTCGTCTTCTCTCCCATCAATGATTTTTTTTTTCTTTTTACATTTCAAAAATGGTCCCATCACATGACTTAAGCCCTGAAAATTCATATGATTTCAAATCAGACGAAGGTCATTTTTTTTTCATATTCATCATTTATTAGTTGCTGCTTTCAAACATATAAATGTATAACATAATTGGATTTTTTTTTTTCTTTCATAAATCAGGCTGTGGCCTTAAAACTGCCACCTTTGTTTCCTCAGCTTCTGGTCTCATGGCAGGAGGTTCCACCGCAAATCTTTATGCAGATCATCAGACATCATTTAACGTTTAATTGATTGGCAAACATACTAATTAAACATAAAAAAGAAATAAAAAATCTTCTCTCTGTCTCTCATATATATCACATTCTGGTTCAATACTATATATCAGCAAGATGAAAAAAAGAAAAAAAAAAAGATGAATTGTAGTAAATTTTGGCTACCGATGTCCTATCCTATACTTAATGCCATGAAAAAAATATGATTTTCTTTTCAGCATTTTGATGCAGAGAAAAGAGTCATATATATATATATATATATATATATATATAACCTTATTATTGATTTTCATCTCTGATTAGATTTTCCCCTTTTTCTCTCTGTTGCAGTTCTGAATGAAAAACCACACCCTAAATCTCTCTCTCTCTCACCCCCTACTCCTGTTTCAGACAGACAACATATAGATTTATGTACACGTGTGTAGCTACAGAGATGTTCATGTGCTCCTCACTGAAAGCCACTTCGAAAACAATATTCCTCACACGTGTGAAGGTTTTCTGAAATAGGGAAGACATAGATTGCAACTATAACATGATCTTTTAGCTTAAGAGATATTACAGAAAAATTATTAAATCTTGAAAAATAAAATAAAATCAAACAACAATGGCCAAAAAGAAAAAGATTAAAAAAAATGATGACCTTGTATTTTGTTTCTGTTAGCATTTGGGAATTGGGATTTAGTTTTCTTGCTTTTCAAAGCCAAATCAGTACAGATTTTTTTTTTTGTTTTGATTTCAAAAGCAAGAGAAAACGTTTCCAGAATTCTAACCAATTGAGCAAACTAGCTATAAAAGAAGAGATTACAATAGGGTTTTCTTTTTTTACGTACGTTCACATCTCAGCTCATGTTTTTGAAGTTACACCGTAGAGATTAATGAAGAGATCGTAAATCATTTCATTTACATATGAAATCACACTAAAAATAATAAAATCCAAGATGTTAAAAAAAAAAAAAAAGAACAAGTGAAGATTCGGTGTGCTCGGAATATAAAATCGCCTCATTTTGCACAGCAAAGATTTTGTTTTTCCTCGTTTAAAACAAAAGTTATTAGGAAATTATTACAGATGTAGATCCAAACTCACATGGTCTTGCAGGCTTGGCTTTGATTCATAAACGTACCGACTCTGGGAACTTGAACCACCACCCTGCGACGGCTTCAACTCATCACCAGCAAACAAAGGCAACGGATGCGATGATGAATGGTCACGGTTGAAATTAGATGAGTTACTTTGAACCGTAGCAGGGATTCTCCATAACCCCAGTGGGCTGCCATTGATGGGTGGTTGAGAAAACGAGCTATGGCTCCCATAAAACCTACTGCTACTACTGCTAATGCTATTGTTCCATGAAGGGTAAGTCATAGCTGGTGTAGGAACTGAGCCTAGCCTGTAGTTGACAAGCCCATACAAATGAGCGTCAGAAAAAGAGTTGTGCAACGTTGCTGACTGAAGATGAGCTCGTTTCGCATGTTGGCGTTCCCTTTTGTGAGCGTTTTGGTGACCACCTAAAGCTTGGGAAGTCGGGAAGTTTCTGCAACAATAGTGACACTCAAATCTTCTGCTGTTATCTCCATTCTCGTTCTCCTTCGTTCTGTCTTCGTTGTTCTCAGCTGACTCTGACTCGTTGCTCGCCGTAACAGAGTCACCACCGAATTCCTTGCCAAATAAACGAATACCCTTTTCTCTAATAGGGGCCGGGCGGATAAAGGGAAGCTGAGAGAAGGATTCCACGTTCATGAAGTCGTGAGTTTCCTTTTCATTCTTCTCCATGAAGAAGAGATAAAAAAAAAAAAAAAAGGGCGGTGGGTGTTTTTTGTTCGGAGAGAGTTGAAGTAATTGGCAAAGAAAATGCAAAGAGAGGAGAGAGAGAAAGAGAAAGGGAAGGTAGCTAAGAGGGAGGGAAGGAAGGAGGGGGGAGGTGGGGCCTATAAAGAGAGGATGGCGGAGTGAACCATGGACAAATGGGGGTGACCCACGGCCATGATCTGAGAGTGAGGGCTGACAAGGCCACAAGTTCTGGTCAGATGGGAGTGGCTTTGGCAGTTTGGGTTGTCAATGTACTAACTTTGCTTCCTTTCACTTTAAATTTTTGGTTTGTTTTGGAAAGTTCTGCCACACCTCCTATGATCTTGAAATTTTATGTTACCGCCCCCCACCCTGCTTTTTTTTTTTTTTTTCCTTTCTATATTTTTTACTTTTTATTTTTTGTATGAGAGGATTGGGGCAAATTTTTAATAATTATATATAAATTCCTTTATACTGATCCCCTTCATTGACTTCTTGAGTAAAAATTATATTAAATTATTGTACTAAAGTATATATTATATATATATATATATATACTCAAATTGTTTGTCCACATATTCTGATTTTTACCACAATTTTTTTTTATTGCTACTTTTCAAGATATGATCACATGAATTAGAATTAGAATTTTATATTTGTTTTTCAAAGTATATTTTAATTTTGTCATTTGACTATATAACTGATTAAAAACTTATGTGAATTGTCATAAATTAATTTATTGTATAATTATTCCAGTTTGGATGTTTTAAACTTCAATCTGATATCAATAAAAAAAAAAAAAAGACCTATGAAGAGAGACAGAATTTTTCTTAATGGTTAACAAAGATCATCTAAGTTTAAACTGATGCCTCCATAGAGAAAAATGTGATTACCAATTATCAAGTTATATCTCAGCTTCAAAATCTAATTAAGTCAATTTACATGTTACTATAATTTTTTTTTTTATTTTTTAATTTACCATTGATCCTTACCCCAATTTAATTTATCTTAGCTTATAACTGAAGAGAACATTATTCGTCTTGATCCTCAACCTTCAACCTCCAATGCCACTAAGCCAAAGCTAGATTAGCACTACATTTTCTTGTTAATTGAGTGAATTTTTTGAGGTAATTCGAAACTCAATTAACTACTAATTATTAAGAAGGCGTCAAGTAAATAATTAGGCTATTTTTAGTTGACCAATTCTATTGAGATCATTATCACTGGAAAGCAAAATAAAAAATCGTTTAATTAATATTATTGCATATAAATTTTAAAATAATTTACTTAATATTATTATATATAAAATTTGTTTCATATTTTTTTTGAGTAAGACCAATTAACGTTAGGATAATAATTAGAATTATAAAATTGTATTTATTAAAAATATAAAAATGTATTTTTCAAAATTATTTAGTTTCAACAAAAATAATGTATTATTCAAATTTCACATATTATTTACATATCAACATTATGAATATCATGTGTTATCAAGGATAACTTAATAAAAAACTTTATTAAGTAATTTAGCATTCCTGGTAATCAAATAAAAAAATTTTACATTTCCTAAATCAATAAAACTTATGAGTCACACATTCTCTATCAATATCACTTTCCCTCTAAATTACTTTCCTTTTTAAAATTTAAAAATAGGCAAACCAAAAGGAATAGTTCCAAAATAATCCCTTGAGCAATAAATAAATAATAATGCCAAAGAGCGAGGCTATGAAAAAGTTTATATCATATACCAATCCAATTGAAAGGAAAACTTACCGACTTACCAAAGGAAATTAATTCATCAGTACATTGCTCTCAATACTGCTTTCAAATTATAAATGCGGGTATTTTTCTTGCTTTATCATCAATCTCATATAAACATATGTTCCCTTCAGTATTTATTGTGATGTTAACAAGAGAGCTGGTTATCGATTCAAATTGACAGCTTATTGGAGACCAGGCTGCTTCAGACTGGATATGTATGGTATTGTGTGGAAAAGCACACATCAACCCCTATTGCTCATGTGGTTTGTTTAGGTTTTGAAATGTTTTTTTTTTTTAGATTGGTTATTGCATGGCCCCTCTTGATTGGACTATCTCTTCATAGGTACCTCCACAAATAAATTTTATATAATCTATCTTGTTATTTTCATAAATTAAGAATGATTAATGATTTACATTCCTTTTTATGTTATAATTAATTTACTTCATCTTTCTTAATTTTTTTTCTTATTTTTAATCATTAAACATAAACAAGATCTCTATAATTAGTTATATGTGGGCAAACTTAGACATGACTACATTAATAAAAAAAAAAAGGATGAAGACTCAATGTTGAATAAGAAATATTATTTAATTGTTTACTCATTATTGAAAATTTTAGTTGTTTTGTAATCTGTAACAGAAATTCAGTAATCAACATTCAACTGTTGATTTTTAATTCAGTAATCAACATTCAATTGTTGATAGTTTCGAATATAAAAAAAATTAACTTAATAAAATTTTATCTTGATAATAAAAATGAAATTATGAAACATTTATGGGTGAGATCAAATATGAACTGATTTAGTAATTTACTTTATTTTTAAGACAAAATGTCTAAACCAAGTAAGAAATTAATAGATTTGGTGGATCAAGGAGCGCATCCTAAGAGGAATAGAAAGGAAAAAAAAAAAAGAAGAGAGAGAGAAAGAATACAGAGGGATGAAATTGATTATAATCACCATCACCACCATGGTCATAATTGCCGTATATTTTTGTTATTGTTATTATCTGTGAATATATCCAAAAGATGACCCTCTTTAAAAGTATTATTATTTGCAGAGATAGCGAAGGAGCACCTCACTTTTTTTTTTCTTTTTATTTATTTATCTTTTGGTCTCTGTAAAAAAAAAATGAAAATCTTTCTCTTTCGTCTCAAACTCTAAATGCCTTTGCCTCAAAATGTTACATGCATCCATCAGTCAACGCCACGTTAATAACTTTGTAAATGAGAAATGACCCAACTTTCAATTCTCTCTCTCTTTCATTTATTATTTTTTTCTGTTTAATTTGCTTCTCTCTTTCTCATCAAGCGAAGGTAGCAGGAGACAAAGAGAGAGATAGGCAAACGCAATGGCATTGAGGCTGCAGGCAGGCAAAGCACTGTCTCAATGATCTCTCTCCAGGACCAGGACGCGTACTATTAGACGTCGGTGTTGGTTCTTTATAGCTGTTGGCCGTTTTATATCTGCTGCAAGTGGTCCTCAAAAAACATTGTAAACCAGAATTTACACGAATGGAGAACACAACTGTAATCATCTCCTCTGCCTCTGCCAAGCCTACTCGTACCATTTTATGTTCTAGTACTTCATGCATTCTCTTTCTCTTTTATCCCTTATATTGATCATATTTAGGCATTTTAGCAGTGTAAAAAGAAAAGAAAGGCGAAAAACAATTTAGGGTCATAATCCTTTTTTTTCCTTTTTAATCTCTCTCTCTCGACGCAATATTTCATGTAATGATTTTTTTCTTGGTTTTTTAATATGTTTGTGCCAAATTTTTGACTGAACAACTCTCATTATCAACATTATAACCTAATAACAGTTTAAGTAATTTGTAATCATACTTTGCCCAAAAATAAAATACTACTAATATTTGTCTTCACATATATCATTATGTGTAGGTAGTGATTGCACCATAAATTACAACATTAAAACAATATAACCATACATACATTGTTTCTTGAAATTCCCGTCCAATATAGCCATTCATTCCAACTCATTAAAACAATATAAGATGAAAACTAAATAATAAAAAGCAACAAAAAGCAAACTCATTTATCATATATAGCTTTCTTTAATTTTTTTTTTCTTTAAATATATAAGCATCAATATTCATAGCCAGCTCCAAAAAGTTAAGGTTCACAAAACCCTTTTAAGCTCTTTCATAATCATGCTTTTGCAATGATAATGATACTAATTATCTCTTCTTTAACTATAATAACCCCAAAAAATCAGAATTAACATTCAATTTGTCACTAGTGAAAATTTTAAGTTAAAAAAATGATGTTAGACTTAATATATTAATTTTTTTATATTTGAAACTGTCTGATGAATCCAAATGGAGAAATGAAGTGTACATGGATAACTCCAAAATTTAAAAAGCAAGAAAATTATAAATAAAATTTTCCGGCACCACCAAAATTTTTCTTTGAACATCTTTTTTTTTCAATAAAATTGATAAATTCGTCAATAGCTTTTTATATATACACACTATAAGTGAACATTTTCAAAAAATATATATATCCGTTATTTTATTAGAATTTGATTAATTTTAATTACTGAAATTAAGAATTTAGCATTTGATCAAAAGATTACATATATTAATTTTCCTAGATATAATTTAATAGGATAGATATACATAGATTTTTGAACCTTATTTGTTAAATTTAATAACTTCACCAGAAATGCATGTATAGATAAAGATAATATTAAGCTTTGCACCAAAAGAAAGAAAAAGGAAATCTATTAGTTATAGAAACGGGTACATAAAATTTTTGTCATGTATACTAAAAAGAAGGGGATGTATCTGTCAAACCTATTAATTCTTTTTCCTTCCTTCTTTCCCTTCTTTCAAGAACTATACCTACTTTTTTACCGTTTGCAAGCTTTAAAAGCTCTTTCCCTTCCCTTCCCTCTCTCATATACTTCAGAGAGAGAGAGAGAGAGAAGAGTTTTATTTGATGCGGTGATCAATTTTGGTTGTTGTAAATGAGTTGAAAGATGGGGATTTCTTAATGCCTGTAGATTTTGCATGATGTATTATTTGAAATAGTAATTTAATGATTTTATTTGTGTTTTGTGGAGTCACTGTGCAAAAAACAGACTACTTTATTCGTGGATGCTAGCTTGACTCGTTTTGCAATTATTCTCAAAGCCGCAACTGCCTTCACTTGTTCATATTTCTACCTTTTGTTGCCATCCCAAGACATGTCACTATCCTCTTCC